AACGAGATGAAGGTCACAGAAGGAGACTTTGTGCTTTGGTCACGCGTGGATGAGAACACACACTACCCCAAGCTACTGGTCACGTGGATTGGCCCCTTTCGTGTCCTCAAGTGCCTGCCCTACTCATGTGTCATAGAATACTTGATTACGGGGGTGCAGCGCGAAGCACATCACTCACGACTCAAGTTCTACGCGGAAAGCCACTTTCAGGTGACTGAAGAAATTATCGACCACATCAGTGAACAAGGAACCACGCTGGTTGTTGACCAAATCGAGGACGCAAGGCGCAACATTGTGTTTGTGTTGAGAAGTTGCACGGAGGCGCAGTTGCGACAGGTAGTCCTTCTTCAACGATCCACGAGATCCAGCCGAATCGCCCTTTCACCCGGTCACTGACCCAAAGCCTGGTGTTAGTAGACTGCGCTGCTGCTGGTGCTTCGCGCATGTGTGCGGCGTAGTTGCTATGACTTGCCTTGAGGTGTGCAAGTAGATTCGTGTAACCCCTGCCTTCTTGTTGGGTGTACGTGCGCTGGCAGAGGGTACAACGCCATCGCCCAGTCGTTTCGTCGTTGGAGTCAGTGATAGCAGAAAAGAAGTACCTACTGCACTGCTCGGGCGAGAACTTGGGCGTGGTTGACTTGCCGGAGAGAAACGTGGACATCATCGAGCGTTTAAAGGTGTAAATGATGATTAATAACATCCAACAGCGGCCTTACGAACTAACAGCTGTACTAATGACTGGCTACTACGCAATGTGGTCGGCGATGTTATTATGTGACAAATTATTTTTATGCATTGTCAAATCGAGTCAAAATACATAATGCATATTTTTTCCAATTCTTAAAAATACATTATGCATAATACCCCTAAATATTTATGTTTTATGCATTACTTTATTTCGACCCCTGCTGGTGTCACCGCTGAGGGATGCTCTCAGCGGTGGTACCAGTCCCACATATAGCGAAAGACCAACTTGACAACGTCCGTGTCTGTCGAACACCTCGCGCCGCCGACCATGGCGGCACCACGACACACACAAGCTACTACATCTCGGCCATTCCTTGGCCAAACCCAGTGATTCTTGGACTGGTGTCACCGCTGAGGGATGCTCTCAGCGCCAGTCCCACATACATAGCGAAAGACCAACTTGCCAACGTCCATGTCGAACACCTCGCGCTGCCGACCATGTGCGGCACCACGACACACACAAACTATTACATCTCGGCCATTCCTTGGCCAAAACCACTCATTGGGAGACTTCCAAAACCGGAGCAAACTTGTTTTGAAACCACTGTGGTACAAAAATTATCCGTACTGTGAGTGACTATTATTGAGCCGATGCTGAAAAGCTTCGACCAAAACCGACTCAAATTGGTCAGCCATTCAAAAATGCATAGCTGTGATTGGATATAATAGGCCAATCAAA